ATGGACGGCTCAGAATTGCGTTTTTCCACTTCCTACACCAGATAAATTGAATTAATTTTTTTTTGCGATTTCGTTTTTCGCGATTATCTCGGAAAAATTCAGAAAAACGTTTGTATCATTTTTCTGAATAATCTACGACTGTTTTTGAAGCTCTCAATGGTTTGTACTTGGTCTCATTATCATGTACAGTAAATTGTTCCGTTTGTACTGCGATGGGAGTGGAAGTACGGAAGATGAGACGTACCCACATCAAAACTTCACGAACTACATATGGAATCCATTACGATGATTTTACGGTTGATAAAAATGGAATCAGGTGATTTGATTAGAATAATAATAATAATAATAATGAATAATTTTCGTTGGTACAAACGAGTACTAACGATTTAGAAGCTATCTGTATGTGTTCCTGACGTCTTTCATACATTTAAGATTTTAGAAGCGGATAAAGTATTGAAGGGGTTGATAAATGAAATGGAAAAATATAGTACATACAAGTACTATCTATGCTGAATCCTTGCTGATGAAAATTTTTTCCGTACCTTCATTTCCGACGCTGCACGATTTTTTCCGCACCCCTTACGTCTAGGGTTGCGCGATACAAACGAAAATGAATGTGGTACGTTCAGGTACGCACTGAGTACAATCGATACTATAAGAAAAAAAATCTATTTATCATACTTCGACTCCAAGTTCACACAGCTAGATTATCCCTGGTGAAATAGACCAAATATAACGACAAAATGGTAAAAAAGTAACACCCATTTTTTAGTAGATTCAAATTTTTTGTACCCGATACCGCCATCTGCTGTTTGTAGCTATCGATTCGTAGCCTCGAATTTCCCGGGGATAAGTTTACGCGTTTTTTTCAACCAGCTATGATACAATGAACACGGAAGTGAAGAGTTGCTACATATGCAGCGATGCAAATCCAAATTCAGCTATTTTTTTACCCAATAATACACCAGTTTTTGTAGGACGAAATGTTGATACAAAAATCACGGATACAAAGTGCTCGAGGAATCAAGGTTAGTGCGGGTCAAGCATTGTGAGTTGTGACATTCATAACCTAAATTTTTTAGTTGACATAAGAGTATTTGTGGTTGTAATAGGGGGAAAATATACGAAACAGCTTTTTATTGGATTTTATTATGCTATTGGATTTCGACATGAATCCTCGTATTTTTATTATTATTTTCTTCGGTTTATTGAACTGGAAAGGTGATTATGTTATTTTGGAGTAATTCAACTTGATTTGTGAATTGAAATAGTGGTCAATAGTCCAGAGAATATTTTATTATTGACAAAGGAAATATCAATTTCTTTGTGAATATTGATGTTGTATTTACATTGCAAATTATAATCAAAGGTTGCATTACATTCGTGATAGGTTATCTTATTAAAAATTCATCGGGTTTGATTATTCTATTCTATTCTATGTTTTAAGGCCGTCCAACAACGAAGGTTTTACGGGCCGTTCGGGTTTGATTAATTGTGAAGAAGAAAATGATCAGTCCATGCGAAAATATACAGAGCAAGATTTGCTATTTTTTCGGGAATTGAAAAAAAAATAGCTTTATACTGAGAAATAAAAAATGTGTTTCCTCTATATGGAAAACAAAATGATTGTTCTAAAATTAGCTGTTCGTCTGGAAAATTATTGTATTTTAAATATTTTTCTAACAAAATTGAGTTGTACTTCTGATTATTTCTATTTTTTTTTCAATTGTTCATACTATAGAGTAATGAACAAATGAGATGAGCTAATTTTATTCCAAACTCGATTACTTTTTGATAAATATCTTCGAATCTCAGGGAAATGGATTCATTTTTCTGAGGATTTTTTTTGTACAGAAAAATGAGAGCTGTACACAAAGTCTTCATAAAAACATCCATATTTTCTCTGAACGTCGAGATATTTCCCATAAACTTAAATGGAAGTGGAATAGACTCAGAAAATATTTGAACAAAATGAAACTTCAATAGTCGATGACTTGATATTAATAGAGTGAACCTTGAATAATTTTGAGGATATCCAAGTATCTTTTACAGTTTGGTACAGACCACACTATTGATTCATCAATTTTCAAACATCAAATTTCAATTCAATTGTGTGAAAAAATTAATAAAAAAATTATGAATATTCAGTGTAATTCAAAATAAATTTTGCACAGAATTAATATTTCTTTAAACATTCGTTGTTTATAAATAAATATTTGAAATTGTTTAAACTTTCAGAAACCTTATTTTTTAAGGTATGAAATAGATTTCTGATAAGTCTGACTACGAAGAAATTTGTTGATTCCGAACAAATGATTTTTATGGTGGAAAAATGATTGTTTATAAATTATTTATAGAAAATGTCCATAATTTTCGAAAATTGGAATTTTTGAATTATTCTAAAATTAAATTTAAAAAAAGTATTACTTTTTAATTACTCCAAAAGTAAACTTGGTAATTTGTTTAGAGATTTTTAGAATGTTTTATAACAGTTTAATGTCGAGATGCAAATTCATACCTGCAAAGTTTAAATAATAAAATCATTGTAAAATATCCGGCAACTTGAGGTCAAATGGGGCTCAAATGAAAGCTCTAATGTTCGACCACAAAAGTAGAACAGTATTTCACTGCAGAAAAAATTGCTAAAGTACCTGGATGTCCTTAAAACGTTGTGAAGATCTCTGTTCAATTCCCAAATGTAATCAATTTCATTCGAATCGTATAATTTAGTCGTTGATGTTATTGAAGATTGCGAAAAGTTAATTTTGCCTAATCCTGTCATATCGTTCTGTCAATACACAACGGATTTCGACTTCTCAATTTTATCTTTATGAGTTGTTTTTATCTGTCTCTATCAATTCTTCAGCATTATCTTAATTTTCTTTTCATTTCATCAGTTCGTTTGTGTGCAAGTTATGCAGATAAATGTGTAACAGTGTGCCAAACTGGTGCTCGACCCTCTGGCTTCGACGGCTGTAAGACGAAAAAGGATGAGAAATATGTGAGAAAACATGGGGATATCATTGAAATACTTCATGGAAAATACCCTTACAGGATAGAATTCAATCCACCGCCTTCTGAAAACCGAAGGGCGCCAATAAATCCTAAAAAACGCACTTGCATTGATTCAGAGGGTGAGAGTCAGGAGTTTAAAGCAAGAAAAAAACCCAAAGCTGATTTTTGCGGGGCTGAAATGTCCAGGGAAGTGCTCAAGGACAATGATGATGATGTCGATGAAGAAACGTCCCGGAAGATCCTTGAAAAAGTGCGAGCGCGACGCCAGAGTCCAATGCCAGGTGGATCCAAGACTGATGACGTTGATTACGGATCATCCAGTAAAATTCATAAAGAGACGTGGGAAGATGTCGACAAACAGGCCTTGATGATTTTCACTGCTGAGGGGGTGCAATCTAGATCGAAAATTGCGGCGTACGACATGGATGGAACTTTGATAACCACGCAATCGGGGCTGGTCTTCCCCAAGGATCTCAACGACTGGAAAATTCTGTTCCCGGGGATTCCCGGAAAGTTGAAGGAGTTGCATGCGGACGGATATAAAATTGTTATCTTTACAAATCAGGGAGGATTGGGATTGGGAAAATCAAAGCCTAATGACTTCAAACAGAAGATTGAGAGAGTTGTTAAAAGACTGGGAGTCCCCATTCAGGTAAATATTTTTTTAGAAGGAACATTTTTTAAATTGAATTTCACAGGATTTGATATTTCAGTTGAAACAGAAATGAACAGCAATTTTTTTTAATGTGGAAAAAGTTTGGAAAAAGTTGCAAGTCTTTTTCTATTTTGTCAAGACTTCGTTACTCACTTGGTTTTCAAGAATTTTTTCCAATACTTTTCGTTCATACAGGAAAAGTGTTAATGAGCAATGGAAAAATGATTTTAAAGTTTTTCTTTTATGAACGAAACGTTGCTCGAATACTAAATACGATCAAGTCGGTTCCTTTTATACAGACATATAAACATATATACCGTTTACTCAGAGATTTAACTCTTTGTGAACAAAATTTTTGACTTTGGCGTTTTTTCGTTGTTGTTTTGTGAAAACTTCAAATGGATCTCATGATCGAACTCCCGAAAAGCTACATATAATTGTCTTTAATTGAAAACATCTCTCCGTAGATCTATACCAACATTAACAATATCATCAACATAATGAGAATCATCATCATGCATGCATGTGATTCCTCTTTCAAAATGTTTAGGAATAAAAGTGTGACATCTCCTTTTTATATAAGATTAGTCTCTTTTATTTTTATTTCGACCAATTCCGTTAATTCCAAGACATTTTTTTATGATTTCTACTGATTTCCAGAAGTCATTCGAAATCACTACCGGAAATGGAAATTCCTTGATTTCCAGTGATTTTTTGTGTTCTCTTCCTTGATTTCCAATCGAGTGGTCCAGTGATTTCCTAAGTGACCAGCCCCTTGGACTCATATCTAAATGCACAGTTCGTATGTGGGAGGCGCGTATACGCATCGGAACGAACCGTCTGGAGAATAATAGAGTTCCAGGTTTTCCAGCGGAAACATCGCTTGAATTTGATGGATTGCATTGTATTGTAACTCCCATTTTCCGATTATAGTTCCGTTGGCAACTCGGTATTTCACTTCAACTCATAGTTCAACTCGAACCATCTCGTAACCATCACAACAAAATTTTACCTGCGTAACTGTCAAGTTTTCGAATGCTCCAGGAGGGAGATGTATTATTTCAACAGTCCAAGGGTCGATGACTGAGTCACTTTTATTTTCAATTTTTAATTCGTTACCCGTCAGGTTGAACTTCGGCAGATGTAGACCCGAAAATGCTCGCGGTTCAATATGCTTAATTTTGTCGTACTTCAAATGCAGCTTTCGAAGTTCAGGGCAGTTTTCGAAAGCCCGGGAGGGGACGGTATTTATATTATTCTTATCGAGATGCAATACCCTCAGGTTTGTAAAATTGTGAAAGACTCCAGTAGGTAGTGAAGTTATTTCGTTTCCAGACAAAGTGAGTCTGAACAAATTACGTACTCTGTTGTATGTCTCTGGGTAAATGGATTTTATCTTATTTTTCTGCATATCCAGCATTTCCAATTGAGAGAGACTATCAAACATTCTCTCTAATAGTTTATTCACTGTACCATGAGTCAAATAGAGATTTTTCAAATTATGGAATCTTCTAAAAGAGTTAACTTCTATATTTCTAAACGCTCGTCGTTATCGTTGAGGTTGTAACTCCTTCAGGAATAATTGAAAGTATCCTGCTAGAACGGATTTCATCTATGCTTGTGATTAAAGTAAGATTCTTGAGATTTGGAAAAATAGTGAAGAAATCATCGTCTAGTTCCTCAAAACGAGTGGCGTCAACTGCAAGTTCTCGACCGCTCTCAAACTTCGGAAAAGATTCGTCTCCTTTGGAAACTCTGTACAGTTCACCTTTAGAGATCTATTGAATTTCTATTAAACTTTCTATTAGGTTTTGGCTGATTCTATTGACATGTTCAATAGAAAATATACAGTAGCAAAAGTCAACAGAATTCGATTTTTCTGTTGTTCAAAAAGCATCGATTTTTATCAGGAATTTACAAATTCATTTTCGAGTATAAATAATTAATTTCGCAGAAATTTGACAATTGGAGTCTATGCATAAATGGATCATCGGAATCTATATGATTGAAATTTACTAGATGCATAAATGTGAACAATAACATGATAGAAGTAATTTGCTTTGCGTGAAAAAATAATACATCAAATTTGATTTCGATAAACTAAATTAGACAAAGACTAAATTAATTATTTCCTCGCTTTACAAAAATTAATGGAATTTTCGTAAAAACCAAATATAATTATTTTTGTAAAAAACACTGTGCTGAGAAAAATTTTTCTTCGGTTCTCCGTGGAAATCAGGAAGACAATTTTGTATAAAAATACAATTTCAATGCAGAAACGAATGAAAATAAGCCTTACAATAATTTTTATTGAATGAAAATAAGCCAAGTCGGGGCTCAACAGAAAATCTGTAAAGCTAGAACCTTTCCGTACCAACGTCCTTGGCGCGGACTTTTTGCAGACACACGGTGTGGTCAAACTTCGTATTTTTACGGTCAACACTATTTTACATCATTTCCAAGCAAATTTAGAGAATCAAAAAATGGACCAATTGCAATGCTTTCATTCAGAGGCAAAAATGAACAATAAAACAAATAGCAAATATAGCAAATGACAAATAAAAATGAAGCAAATAGCGAAAACTTTGAGTATGTTTATTACCAAGTCATTTAGATAGATTACATAGTCTAGGAATTTTTATAAGACAAGCAATATGAATAATGCTTTCGGTCATGAGTATTACTTTGAACTGTTGACTTTATTAATTTCATTATTATATTTTATGTCTATTTGATTTTGATCGCATATTTGGCCATGTACTATTGAGGCTGTATAAAATCGAAATGAAATGAAATGAAATGACCTTGATGCTAAGATCCGCGTATTCAATTTGGTAAACTCTCCCTCTCTTCATTATAATAGCGTTATTGAAGTGGCATTATTATTGTTTATGTTTCAGGTATTCATTGCGACTGCAAGAGACTCCTATAGAAAACCAGTGACCGGAATGTGGGATAGATTTGCTAAATTCGTAAGTAATAATTTTGGCTTATGTAAAATTAGTAGCAAAGGGGTGAAATAAAATGAGTTCACTCAAGTCCGTATTGATTTTTTTACGAGTATCTCGGAGACAAAGGCAGATAGCAAATATTTCATAAAGACTATTTCTGTACAAATAAAAGAGAATTACAATAAATGTCTTTTCTGGAAATTCATCCATCTCCCTTTAATTAACTTTGAGATATTATGCGAAAAATAAACGTCAAGTGGAATATTTCTGTCTTATTTTAAATTTTTTCTACTGAAATTCAATGGAATGTTTATTATTTATGCATCAACCTCGGGAACGAGTGCTTTCACGACTAGATCTTGGAAATCGACGAAATTTACGATCGAAAATACCTTTTGATAATTTTTTCTAAAAACACTCATTAGTGAGATCATTCCATAATTACAACTACTAACATGTACTGACACGAGTAGATTTGTATGACAGCATTGCAACTAAATCGAAGAAGTGAATTTGGATTATAATTTTTTACTTCAGAACAACGACGGAGTACCCATTGATAAAGACAATTCATTCTTCGTTGGAGACGCAGCAGGAAGACCAAAAGACTGGGCTCCAAAAAAGAAGAAGGATCACTCTCTGGCCGATAGACTATTCGCCTTGAATGTTGGAGTCAAGTTTTACACACCTGAGGAGCATTTCCTAGGGCAGAAGCCTGTGCAGTATAACCTACCAGTGTTCGACCCAAAAGTATTAGATGATGATGTTGATGTCTGCGATCCACCTAGAGCACAATTGTCCTCCAAAAAGCAAGAAGTATGAATAGAAACATGAAAATAATCTGTTTCATTATAATAATAAATTGAATAATGATTTCTTCTTTTTTGTGGAGGTGATTCTCATGGTAGGGGCGCCAGGAACAGGAAAAACCCACGTTGTACGGAATTATCTGAAGGATTATCACCACATCAATCGAGACAAATTGGGAAGTTGGCAGAAATGTGTTGCAGAAATGGAGAAATATTTATCTCAAGGGAAGAGTGTAGTTATTGACAATACAAATCCAGACCCAACGTCAAGACAAAGATTTCTTGATGCTGCTAAGTCCAAGAACATTCCAGTCAGATGTTTTCTCATGAAGACTCCCATCGAACATGCGAAACACAACAACAGAGTGAGAGTTAATTTTTTTTAATCCTCTGAATTCTTCAATGAAATTCAAATTGCAATACAAATTAAATTTTCGTTATTTTTTGTTTTTGCAGTTTAGGGAATTGACTGATCCTAGTCACATGGTTGTCAGCGAAATTATTATAAATTCATATGTGTAAGTAAATATTCTATTCAATCATTTTGAAGTTTGTCTAACTCACTGCAGAATCGGGGACACAAGGTGGCTGGCAATTAAATTCCCCTCTAAATAAGCAAAGTAACTTAATGGAATGAAGGATATGGAGTTTAGGAATAGCTTGGAAAAAGTGCTTTAGCATGATGAAATGATTCAAAAAATGAGATCAATTAAGACGCAAAAAGTTATCTGAACAAATGATATGTTCCAATAGTGGCGCCCACTCCACCCTGGTCTGGCGTTGCACCAGATTTATCAAGCTACTGCTGCTCCTGTGTCTCCGACTTCTCTTCGTACTATCTCTCTACACATATGTAAAACCTTACAGGAAGAACTTCGTGGAGCCGAGCATGGACGAGGGATTCTCAGAAATCGTGAAGATCAATTTTGTACCAAAATTCCAGACTGAGAAGGAACGAGAGCTTTACACAATGTATCTTCTTGAAAAATAATGTTGAAAAATGAATATATGTCCATTTTATACAGTCGTACTTATTTTCTTACATAAAAATGAATAAAATTCTTAAAAGTGGAAGTGATCGCAGAATGTTTTTTTTTGGAAACCCAATCCGAAATTTTCTATTGTTCTATTTGTAAGAGCAGAACTAGGATAAAATATTTCACAAAATTCAGTCCTGGAGGCGGATAGCGCAATAATAAAGATTTTCCTTCATCTCTAGTCTATGATTTCACATAATTTTTACATAATTTTGATTTAGTCAAAGAAGAGAAACTCTAATGATAGTTTTAAACACTTTTGATGTAGAAAAAAAACTAAAAGTTGAGAGGGTAATCAGTTTGAAAAAAAATTGTATCTCTGATGTCAAGAGATTGCATAAAATATTTCAGATTTAAAAAGGCTTCATAAAGTCTTAAGAAATCCGCAAGCTTTCAGAGAATTTCAAAAATATTCTGAGAAATTTCATATAATTTTAAGTCATTGGATTCAGATTTCACATTTTCGGAATTTTTTAAAGAGTTTTAGGCGGTCATGATTTTTTTCCGGACAAAGATTCAAATATCAAGTTATGAACTACGTGAATATGGAATATTCTCGTAGTTCATAAATTTCTCCACAAAACTTCAAAGATTAAGATTAATAAGATTTCATGGACTTGCTTAGACTTCCAGAAATTTCAAAAAACTTGAGTCGAAATGTGAAGAAATTTAAAAACTTCGGGTGTACAAGATTTTATGAGTAGCTACCCCCTAGCCAAAGTTCGAAATTCTGTTCTATTTTCAATGCGTTTCATAATTTCCGTTGAATTCCCTCAATTTTTCAATAATATTGATTTCATTAAAGAAGAAAAACCCTAATGATGGTTTTAAGCGTTTTGCTGTAGATAAAAGACTGAAAGTTGAGAGGGTAATCAGCTTGAAAAAAAAATTGTATCCCATATTTCAAGAGGTGGCATAAAATATTTTTTAAATTGAAAAAGAGTTTATAAAATCTTGAGAAATCCGCAAGCTTTTAGAGAATTTCAAGCTTTTTTGAGAAATTTCATATAGTTTCAAGTTATTTGATTAAGATTTCACATTTTCTGGAATTTTTAAAGAGATTCAAATACATAGTGATGATTGTTTCTTCACAAACATTCGAATATCACATTAAAGTGATGCATGTCCATAGTAGTGAATCATTTAAAAAATTGCGATATATAACTATTACAGGAATTTTACTCTTTCTGTCATTATTACGATGATTTAGCAATGAAATTGCAAAAGATATTTACATAATTCATGAATTTCTCCACAAAACTTTCGTGAAAATTTCATGGACTTGCTTAGATTTCTAAATATCTCAAAGAATTTTACTCGAAATGTCAAGAAATTTAAATACCGCGACTATACTAGATTTTCTGAATGACTACTCCCTACCTTTTCATAATTCCAGTTGAATTTTCTCAATTAGAGAAGAAATAAGTTTTTTTCATAAACCAATTGAAACACACGTGGACATGAATTGGTTAGCGTTTATGAAATTAAGAAGAAATGAAGAAAAAATCACTCACCGACGTGCCAAAAAAAGAGAAAAGAATTAATAAAATAAATGAGAGATTTGAGGAAAAAAAAGAATGCATAACTCATGAAATGCAACGAAAGGGATTAGGAAACGATAACACTATCATGAAATCCTATTAATCATCAGTTCCTTCGTATTAAATTCCCCAATTATAATATTTCCTAATTACCACAAACAAGTAGATGTCTTGACTCATCAGTATCACGATCCCCGTAAGGAATCACGAAACTTTCCACCCTAATATCTGTACATTACAATGACAAAACCCTTAGAACACTGTACAAATAAATGCAAAGCAAACGTTCCATCCGGACATTTTACTCTGATATATACTCCTGCATTTGTCCATATTAAGGAACCAACGTTAAATCCTGGTGTGCTTTTATGCGTTATCATTGTCGTCTGAGAGTACCACGGACAGGTTCTCGGGTTGCGTGTGGATATGGTAAACGAAAGGATACACGTAAAACAAGCACAACGACGTTATTATTAGTCAACCTTACGACCCGCATTCCAACGTGACAAACAAGTGCTGTATGTACACCGGTACGAGGTGCGTCACAAGGTGTCAGTTACAATTTATCAAACTTTTACATTGTTAAAACTACCCGGTGATATTGTACAATCTATCAGTAGAGGAGAGATCCCTTGTGTTGTAGCAAAGTTTTGGAGTAGATAGGATACGTAGGATTTTGACTAATAAGCTTTATAAAGCTTGGGGGAAATACTAAAATAGTTTGTATTATAATAATGTGGAAGGATGATAATGTTTTTAAATGTTTTAATAAATAACTAGTGTGATCACCTCAATGGATATTGGAGAAATAACAACATTGATTGTATTGTCTCTTCAAAAATTAGAGGATGCTAAAATAATTTAGCGAAACGTCGCATTTTAACAGCTCAATCATCGTTGTTATTTCTCCAATATCCCATGAAGTTGCCAACTTCTTTCAACATTTTTGTTTCCATGTCAATTGAACTTCAAATTAATTCCTTGTGCAGAGTAATTTCTTGAGTAGATTTGAATGAATCGAGGAATCTTTTCTGTAGGAAATTTTGTTAATCGAAGGGGTATTTATCAAGTGATTCATCTGAAGCGATTACTCACTTGATGTTTACAAAATATGACTTTCAAATTCATATCTCTTCAGAAACTATCTGCAGAATTGTATGATAAAAAATGATTCTTCAGATTACGCATGCATCTGTTAGTGTGTTTGTAATTTTTCCTCAACAGAGATATCTATTAGACGGTCCACCAAATTGGGCCTTGCTTTCTGCCAGAAATGAAATTTATACTGTAGATAGATTTTTTCACCCTGAATTTATTTGTGTTTTTGTAAAATTTCGCTAGCACGTCAGGTTTTGGAAAAAAAAAATGTTAAAGTTGAGAAAAGTAGCAAAATGGGCATATTAGAAAAAAATAAAAGTCAACTAATTTTGTACTCAATAGAATGGAAAAAAATAAAGGAAGTTGAAGAAAGATTTGTTTATCCAAGGGAATAAATCTCCGGGGAATCCATGATCTAATTGAGCTGGACATAAATCATAAAATTGCGAAATTTTCAGTATTTTTGTGCAACGAGGGGAACTGGTCGGAAGTTGGTTAGATGTTTTTCTAACCCCGCCGAATTTGATTCTGTAGACACGTGGTTAACCTGGATTCTCTTCAAAGCTTTCATAATGAGTCCTGAAGAAGATTTTTGCTTGAATTCCTTCGCCCTAGAGATGACTGAGCTTTGGGAGAAAGAATTATCAGACTTTTATGGCATTCGCTGTTGTCGGAGGCCATCGGCAGCAATTTAATTCACATAATTGCAGGTATTGTCCCTGATTAAACACGTATTGAGTTTTCTCCTTATGTTTTATTTTGCTACATATTAAGGTTGTGTGACGGAGATACATTTTAGGGTACTGTTGGGTCGTTTATTAGTCCTGTACAGTCGACAGATGGAGAGTGAATGTATTTAATCTATATCCACACAGTACACAGTGAAAGCTTCATCTCACCCTCAAGTTTCTACAAATTTTATATCTCTATGAGCGCTGAGACACTCAATACGTGTTTAATCAGGGAAAATACCTGCAATTCTCTTTTCGTATTCAAAATTAAATAGCCCAGAAATATTTCGCTCTTACTCTGGGATCGAACCCGGAACTTCTGGCTCTACACAGAATGATGAACATTGCCACATTAAAACACAAATCAACAAAAATATTGGAAAAAAATGTTCAATGATTTTTCATAAATATTTGAGTTATTTCCTTCAATTTTTATTTTTTTAGAAACAATCCCGCTACTTGATAAAGGAAATGTCTTCAATCAAATCAAATGGATAGTTCCCCCACCTATAAATTTATGAAAATTGAATGCTCTCTAAATCATCCTCAAATTCATTATCTCTTCTACGAAATCAAATGCTTTGAAACTGCTCGAAAAACATTTACTCAGACAAAAAATGGCCCCCAACAACTCTTGATCTACAAAAACCTCTGTTGATTCTAGTTGAAAATTCGCCAAATTTATTTTTATTCCAAGTCAATTTTATTTCTCTCCCTGAGTCCATAAATTGTATCGTATGGATACACATTCAGACACCTGGTATGCAGTTTTATCCGTATGGGAGGGAGAGGGTTAAACAGTTTAAAGGGAAGCCAGCGAGTATGGATGCAGCTAAAATGTTATTATGTAGGTGTAGGTGTGTATGAAAGGGGATGAGTGTGGGATGTAAATTTGCATTGAACGAAATGAGGCGCTATGGGGCATTCCAGTCCGAAGTTAATAGCTTCCCAACGATTAACTGTATCCTCTACCACCCCCACATACCCCCTTACCCTCGAAAACTCTATGCCCTCTCTTTCGACCACGTCGCACGCGTTCCCGAAAACCCGTAACGCCTCTACCCACACCACCGGGGTTACCCAAGCTATCCCTACTAATAATGTATGTCCCCGGGAAAGGTCGGAAAATAACTGACTTGGCTCAGGCAATTTCCCTACTATCCACTTGTTTTCATCAAATAAAATTGGTTTAAACCCAGCCATTGAGGAATTAAAATAAATTAAAAGTTGAGTAATTTTTTTTCAGAATTTTTTTACGGTAAATAAATTCTCAACTTCGATAAATATTTTTGGGGAATGGTATTCGGTGTCTATTCGGAATCCTGGTAGCCAATAGTTTCCAAGTGAAAGGGGCTGCCAAGGGTTATGGAGCATAATTTAGTGGACAGTTTGATATACAAACAATCTTTAATGAAATTCTTGGTGTTCATTAATAACGCATTACAGCCTCTTGTCGTTGTGGCGCTTTAGGTTCTTCGGGTAAACTAGTATTTTGGGAGGGTTCGGGCTCTGATACCTCCAGCGACATTCAATGTTGAGGATCATGGCTGAACAAGCAGGATACTTCAATAAATTGAATCGAGATATTGTTTAGTTTGAATTTTGTTTGTGAGAGAGTTTGATAATTATCGCAAATTATATTAGATCGATAAGCATTGTTTTCTTACGTTG